AGGTCCAAAACCTCGAGATTTTTCAGACCTGACAAACTGATCAGAAAAGTGTCATTAAAGGGGTTTCTAGAGAGGTTCAGGAGCTTGAGGCTTGAGATTCTAGCGATCTCACCATGAATTTGGCCAAAAAACTCATTAACAACGAGGCTGAGGGTGGAATGTTAGAAATAGATTTCGGGCTTAGAAAGAGAGAGAAGAAGATGCAGAAAAAAAATTTAGAACAACTATGAGACAACAACAATGACATTTTCGGACCTCAAAATCTGAGTTGGCAAGCTCAGATCTGAGCCAACGAGTCTATGGCTCCAATACCATATTAGAAACTCAGAATACTGCAAAGAACTTTCTATATATTAAACTCATCGATTAAAGAATATACAAGACCCTGTATGAATATACATCCAGTAACAGTTAAAGATAAATACCAAATGATTATGGATAGACACCAAATACACGACCAATAACAATTCTGGATAGATACCAACAATAATGATAATTACTTACTAATCTACACCTAATCTTATCAAGAGATATATACCCACACAGATACGTGTCTATTGATATGTATCCGTACAGATGCATATCCGTACTGATATGTATTGTTATGATACATATCAATATCCATACTCCAACATCATTATCTAAAATTTTACTATATTTTTTCTCAAAAACTTGAAAATTGAGATAGTTTCTCTCTCTAAAACTTGAAATTTGAGACAGTTTCTCTCTAAAAAATTTCATGTAATTTCTCTTTCTAAAATTTGATATAGTTTCTCGCTCTAAAATTTTAATATTTGTTTTCTCTCTAAAACTTGAAATTTGAGATAGTTTCTCTCTAAAATTTTAAGACAGCTTCACTCTCTAAAAATTTTGGATAGATTCTCTCTCTAAATTTTGATATAGTTTATCTCTCCTAAATTTTAAAATACTTTCTCTCTCCAAAAATTTTGAGATAATTTCTCTCTCTAAAAATTTTCAAGTAATTTCTCTCTCTAAAAATTTCTAAGTAATTTCTATATCTAAAATGTGATAAGTTGCTCTTTCTAAAGTTTTAAGATACTTCCTCTCTCTAAAAATTCAAATTTGATTAGTTCTGCTTTCTAAAATTCTTGAAATAGTTTCTCTCTAAAAAATTCTACTTATTTATCTAAAATTTATAATTTGATAAAATTTCTCTCTAAAATTTTTGAGAAGTGTTCTCTCTCTAAATTTTTTTAGGTAATTTATCTCTTTAAAATATGCTATGACTTCTTAAAATACTTTCACTCTCTAAAACTTGAAATTTAATATAGTTTCTCTCTCTAAAAAATTTGAAGTAGTTTTTCTCTCTAAATTTTTTAGTTGTTTCTCTCTCTAAAATTTTAAATAGTTCTGTTTTTAAAATTTTAAGAGTCTTTTTCTCTCTAAAACTTAAACTTTTAGGTGGTTTCTCTCTCTGATTTGTGTTGATGTTTTGGCATAATTAATATATTTAATAAAGTGAACAACTTTGGTGTGTGAAAATAGTATTGTTATAAGCTGTATTACCTCTTTCGTGCTAGCATAAAAGAATGTTTTGGATAACTCAATTGTTTTATTTGTTTTGTATACCTATCTTTTGGCCTTCTTTTTTGGTTACAGAAAACATGATTATGTATCCAAAAAGTTGCCAAACGTGCTTTTTTACCGGATAACATGGTTATACAAAATCACGTTTTGTTTACCCTAGGATCCAAACGACCCAAAGAGAGTCAGCCAATTTGCCCAATTTTTAAGGTAGATGTTTGAAACTTTGACTTATTTACTACTAAAGAGAAAAAAGGGTTTATGTAATGTTGTAGCATGAAACTATAAAATTAAGGTGCACCTCAAAAATCTATCGAAAAAGCCTGTTTTGATGTTAGAAACCCCTCTAGTTGATCATTTCAACATCGAGATGTATGAATTAAAAAAAAAAACAAAACAAAACAAAACAAACAAAAAATAAAGATTTCAAGTCTCATAAATATTGCATCTTGCAATACATTATCTAGACCGTCCATTTTCAAGATGTTCATGTGTTTAAAATTTTATAATCAAATATAAAAATAGATTTTTCAATTCATCCTAAAAAAATTAATCACACCTTATGATAAATTTTGGTGGTGTGCCTTATTTTGATTCTTTATTGTTGCAACCTTATGGAAACCACACCCGAGCAATGAGGGCGGTTGAGATGTACCAGCTTGAGCGTGCAACCACAGATCTGAGTGAAGATAATTCATCAGAGCCGTCCATTCTTAACACCTACGATTCAAATTGGAAATTGTTTGGTGAGTCAGCTGACTCACCTATTACCATGCATCTTTAGAGTTTGTCAATGTCTACTACGATGGCAGTCATGGATGTAGAGTTTTTCTTTCTGGAAAAATAAAAATTGTGCTTTTTTAATATTTTTTTCAGAGCTTATTTTAGCTTTTAATGGAAGCACCGTTTTGACATCCCAGAAATGGGCGTTTGCAAGAACAGTGCTACTCACCAAAACCATGTCCATTAAGATTACTCGTGATACTAACGATTAAGATTAAACACATTTTACTGCCTGTTAAACTATGTAAGCATACTAATCCTTACATTGTTATGGATCTTTCAAAGTAAGCGGACCACATGCACATGTTTCCCCCATTATATAAGGAAAATAGTTTCATTCAGAGGGGACCATATTTTTACATATGTGGTGCTCGAGGTATAGAACATCCATCTTAAAGAAGGATGCAAATAGATGGTCCAGTTAAAAATAATTGAAACTAACGATCCAAAGCTTTCTTAAGAGAATTATTATTTTTAATTTTTAAAATTTATTTATTTTCATATTCATGAACTCCACGTTAGATATTAATATGCCCTTAAAATTTAAGGCCAAAAAATCTCAAAAATATATTTTTAAGAGGTGACTAATTTTCACATGGAATCATAGAATCCGTGTCCTTCAACCATCAAATTAGAGCCCACCTTCATATAGTGTCGAGAAATATGGTATCCATACTGAAAAATTTTGTAATAGCCTGCCTTAAAATATTTTTTCATCTTTAATTATAAAATTTAAAGCTTGTGTATATCGAGCATATCTATGAAAATTTGAAAATCTTGAAAATTGACGGTTCAAAAAATGCATTACAAGATGCACTATTTCTAAAACTTAAAATCCATTTTTTTCTCATGTCCATGCATTTTGATGTCGAGATTATCAATTTAAGGATATTTAGGCATCAAAATTTTTGAGGTAGGCTCTAATTTGATTGTTTAGAGCCTCGGCTCTATATAAACTTTGCCAATTTATAAAATTTAGAGTCTACATCAAAATTTTCACTAGAAGATGTCGTTTTGAAGCCCAAATATCATCAAATTGATCATCTCGACATCAAGGTGCATGGACTTGAGGAAAAAAGTAGATTTCAATCTTTGAAAATACGGTATTTTATAGCGCATTTTGTGACCGTCAATTTTCATGATTTTCAAGTTTTCACAGATCTATCAATCTACACTTTTTTTGAAGCTTTAAACTTTATAAATAAAGATGGAAATATATTTTAAGGCTATCATAAAGACTTCTAATATTGAAACCACATTTCTTAATACTATTTGAAGATAGGCTCTAATTTGATTGTTTAGAGCCTAGGCTCTATACAAACGGCACTTTTATATAAAGGGAAAAGTTTATCTAAAGTCGAGGTTCTAAATAACCAAATTCGAGCCTACCTCAAAAATTTCACTAGAAGAGGTTGTTTTGATGCCCAAATATTCTCAAATAGATCATCTCGACATCAAGATGCATGGACATAAAAAAAAATATAGATTTCAAGTTTTTAAAATAGTGTATTTTGTGATGCATTTTTTTACCATTAATTTCCAAGATTTTCAAGTTTTCATAGATCTCTCGATCTACACTATTTTTGAAGTCTTTAACTTTATAAATAAAGATGAAAATATATTTTAAGGCTATCAAAAAGGTTTCCAGTATTGAAATCATATTTCCCAGCACTATATGAAGGTAGGCTCTAATTTGATTGTTTAGAGCCTAGGCTCTATACAAACTACATCCTTATATAAAGGGTGCAGTATAGATCCTAGGCTTTAAATAATCAAATTATTGCCTACCTTCAAATAGTGTCAAAAAATATGGTTTCAATATTGGAAATCTTTGTGATAGCCTTAAAATATATTTTTATTTTTATTTATAAAGTTTAAACTTCAAAAATAAAGTAAATCAAGAGATCTATGGAAAGTTGAAAATCTTGAAAATTGACGGACTAAAAATGCCTTACAAAATACACTATTTCCAAAACTTGAAATCTTTTTTTGTTTTTCTCATGTCCATGCATCTTGATGCCTAGATGATCAATTTGACGATATTTGGACATCAAAACAACCTATTCTATTGAAATTTTTTTAGGTAGGCTCTAATTTGATTGTTTAGAGCCTCGGCTCTATATAAACCTTTTCCTTATATAAATGGGGCAGAACTACCAAAGCTTTAGAGTAATATTTAAGTATGTATACTATGCTCCTGTAGGAGCATACTGTGCTTCTACTCCCTTGTGCAAAACATCTATTTACGACGATTATTTTTAGTCTAAAATTTGGGGAACCACGTAATAATAACTAGGTTATTATTTTCAAAAGAAAAAAAAAATCTCAATTTTCAGTGTTGTGACACTTAAATCTCCCGCTTTAAAAATTGGACAGTATTCAAATCTTGAGGCATTATTAGTTTATTGGTTGTCGATATTATATTCCAAAAGATTGAGATCTAAAATTTTTCTTCGCATGTGTTATGCCTGAGGGAATATATGGATAGTACATTCCCGCGGGAGTAGAAAATCTTCTTAAGAGATATTTTATTCCAATGAATTCCGTGTATGAAATTCCCCTTATCTATTTGCTCTAAGACTTCCTCCCCATTGGTCCACATCATGTTCTCATCCATCGACCACAATCTCAATCCGCAAGTCCTTTGGGCATCACAAAAAAAATTCAAATACAAAACCCATCTAATGGCCATACCACATTAGCCAGCGTAGGGAGAGAAGAAATTGCAGCAATGGCAACAAATTCTCTCATAACACCAGTTGCAGGCTTGGGAACCTCATCTTTCTCTCCATCTAGGAACCCAACTAAGCTCAATCTTTCATCTGGTAATTTTATGCATATCAATTCGTTTAGCTATCTATTTATTTATAACTGTGAGCAAAACCTCCTCTAAATTATCCATGACTTTTTTCTTCTTCTTTTTTCACCATAATCTCCTCCAATGCCAGGTTTCTTAAGTTCCAGAGCTACTGCAAACCCCTTTAGTAGAGCAACAAGGTCTAAAGGAAGGTTCTCGTGGTAATTTACTTTTAAACTAGGCCATCAACACAAAACTTGTTGACTCTCTCTCTCTCTCTCTCTCTCTCTCTCTCTCTCTCTCTCTCTCTC